GATTTCATCCTGGACACTACAGAAAATGGGCTAAAAGTGTTAAAAACCGGAATTTTCCTTTAACTCACAAATGGAGAAACTCTAGAACTGTGGAGAACCTTCCCAGGAATGACAGATTTACCAGGAGAGCATCTGAAGCTCTGCAGGTCTTAAAATGGACTCTATGCCCGTAAGGCCAGAACCTCTGCAGGCCCAAAAGACAAAGATCCACCTCACATGAACCTAAAAGCTTCCAGATGAAGCCAAAACTTAAATATTCTGCAGATTGTTGGGATAAAAGTGGAACCTTTAGAAAGATGGAACCTGGTCCATCTCTGGGCGACTTCAAACCAAAAAAAAACCACATCTAACGATTCATTACTGGTCGTCACAGGCAACCGACCGCAGCTCTGTTTGATCTGTTTTTGTTTTTTTATCATCTCTAGCTGGAGTGCCGTAGAAATGCTGCTTGTTTGTGACACCATGAATCGCTCATGTCATCAGCACCTCTTAAACGTCTGACGTCAGACCGACGTGTGACTCCTCCGCCGTGTCCGTGGACCAAAACAGTCGTCGTCTAATATTTTTCCAGCTAATGTAAATGACGACTGGGTGTTGGTATGTAGTCTGTAATTACAGATCACCCCCCCACCCCCTCCTCCTCCTCCCGGTTAGTGGAGCCTCTGCTCAGGCCTCCTCGGCTCTGCTGCTGCCGTCCTGTTTGAAAGACGACTGCTGCACCCTACAGTTTGAAAGCCGCCTCTCGCTGCTTCCCAGCGCTGCTCATCCTCACGCTGACTGCTTTCTGTGGAGAATATCAAACGGCAACGCTGCAGCTGTGGCTTTATGAAGGGAAAATATTTGAAACAGAAGAGAATGAATAGTCTCCCTGTTGTTGTTGGGCTTTCAAGTGCTTCCAGGTCTTAAATAATTTCTGGTTTCGGAGGGTTTAGTGTCCGACGATGGTCTGAATTAAATATCAAATGCTTCTCTTCCTTAAAGACGGCTGATCTCTGAATACTCTGAATATTTGGCTCAAACATGATAAGATTTTACGCAGCCGTCGCCTCAGAAAGCTCGTTTTGGTCTGCAGTGGAAATAGATGTGGTGCTTCTTCTCTCATTTAAGGTAATTATCTGCTTCTCTCAGGCCTAGAGAGTTTTCCTAAACCGCCCCCCTCTCCTCCCGCGCTGCAAGGTGGAATCTGGTCCCGCTGAATAACAAACATATTGGCTCCTGCTGTTTTTCAGGTGTGATAAAGCGGAGCGCCGGCGTCCGTCTGCACGGTCTGGATCTGCTCCCAGCAGTGGCAGCATCAACAAGAGGCTTCGCCTCGGAAATCCCACTTGAGGTAGTCGAAGCACAAACACACTCCTGACAGCCAAGTCTGCTCCGAGCCTCTAAAGCTTTAACTGCTTCAACTTCTAAACCTTTAATTACAGAAAAATCCTCCATACAATAAAATCTATATTAGTGCTGAAAGAAAAGCAGAAATCTGACTTTAGCCTCTTTAATTTAAAGCAAAAAAATTAAATTTCACTTTATTCTAAGTGGAAGAAGATTGGTTAAAACTGCCTGAAGACTAAAAATACCAAAAAAATATAAATAAAATTATTTAAAACCTTAAAACTCAACTAAATGTGTAACAAGATAACTTTATTAAATTACCAAAAAAAAAAGGATATAAATAGAAACTAAAAATAAATTAAATTAAGAAATGTTTTCTGAATAGATCGTCGTTTAAAATAAATATTATAAAGACGGTTGAAAAATAAATCAGTGTTTTATAAATGCTATAGAAAAAATAAGTTTTATTAATTATTTGAAATAAAAAGTTGCTGAGAAAATAATTGAATACATAAGAAAATAAAAAAAAATTCAATGAATAATTAAGTTATTACTAAAAAACTTATTGATTTATCAACTTATAGATTGCAATCAATAAATATTTAAAATATCAAATAAAAAAATAAATCAGAAAATAAATTAATAGATAATAAATAAATCAGAGTGATTTACTGTAAATGGAAGAGTTTACGTCATAATCATTAAATAGTTTAACTGCGAAACACATGTACAAGTACATTCCTTTTTTCTAAACAGATAAATATTTAATAATAAATAAATAAAATTATGACAAAAGATCAAATAATAATAAAAAATCATTAATATGAAAACTGAATGAATTTAAATCATTTAGTGTTTCTGGATTTTTCTCTGGTTGATGAATATAAAGAGATAAGAGTTAAAAACAGACCGTGTGGTTCTATACACTGCAAAAATGATCTCAAAATGAGTACAAATATCTTAAATTAAGTGTATTTACCCTTAATTTAAGCAGGTAAATAAGATGATTTGCCAATGGAATGAGGATTTTTACTCTTAACATAAGATATTTAGATAAAATGCACTTTAAATAAGACAAAGCAATAGTTTTTTCTTATTTTAAGTGTAAATTGTATTGTTCCATTGGCAAAGTGTCTTAAATCCTTAATTCAAGAAAAAATGCACTTATTTTAAGAAGAAATTACTTATTTAAATTTCATTTTTTGCAGTGTAGATCTATTGTGTTAGATTGATTCGTCTGTACGATGGAGATAAAATTATATTTTTGGTTTAAAGTGCTTAGAGACGATCTTTGTTTGGTGGAATGGAAGCAGCGAGGAGACGTTTCACCTTCTGCGTGACGTTAATCTGAGCTGAACGTGAATCCAGGAGAGTTTTACCTCCTTAAACTAGAAAGATTTTCTCCAGCGACTGTTTATCTGAAAATCAGGGAACCAAATGATAGCTGACACTAGAGATAAAGGATATAGATCTTCCTTCTTATTTGATCGTTTTCTGGATTTACCTGCCAGCTGCTTCCACACTGGAAAATAATCTAAATCTAGATACGTCGTTTTTTCTTAAAATGAGTGCATTTGTTGTTGGATTCAGGAGGTAAAAGAGAAATTTTGCCAATAGAACAAGAAAATGTATATTTAAAATAAGAAAAAACAATTGCATTGTCTTATTTCAAGCGCATTTTATCTAATTATCTTATTTAAAGAGTAAAAATACTCATTCCGCTGGAAAAATACCTCAAATTAAGGGAAAATACACTTAATTGAAGACATTTTTTAAGTATTTCCAGATTGTTTTTCCAGTGCATGCTCCATGTTTCAGGTTAAACCTAAGAAGAACAAGATTGTGCAGAAGTCTGAACTTTCCTCTGCAAGCCGGATGTTCTTTAGGGGAACAGTAGAAGAGGGGGGGGGAGTTGAAGCTCCAAATGGAGATGCTCTGACTTATCTGCAGCAGCCTGCAGTGAAGGAGCTCAGAGATAGAGAAAAGAAACCAGCGATTGTCTCCTCGCTCTGCCTCCCTCGCTGTAATCTGATTGGGCACGTTCCCTGGAATCGAGGGCAACGCCGAAACAAAAGATCACCAATCAGATAGACGGGGCTCCCACTGAAGTTCCTGGCATGGCATGAATGCTTCGCCCCTCTCATGTGCGCCCGTATCTAGCGGTGAGATTCCCCGTGTCGCTTTTATGTGTTAATCGTCACCGCTCAGTGAGACTATTGTGCTATCTGCATCGCCGGGGGGAGGAAACCGCTGAAAAAGAGAGGAGTTTATATGAGGAGTGAATGCGAGGCAGCGCAGACTGCCAGGACTGTTTCACACGAGCTGAGAATCACCTCCTCACCCCCCCACCTTTGACGAGGGTCCAAGAGTGCAGTGTGGTGCTCTGACACCTTAGGCATCTCTAACTGACGGGGAAGGAAATTTAGAGCAAACATGGAGTTCATTAGAGCATAGGGTTGATTATTACCTGGAATATCGCTCATTATGGAGCTCTGCATGGAAAAACATCCAGAAATAAGTTAAAATTTCCAAAATAAGTGTTTTTACTCTTAATTTGAGCAGGTAAATGAGACAGTTTGCCAATGGAATGAGTATTTTTACTCTTAGTATAAGATAATTAGATAATATGCGCTTGAAATAAGACAATGCAATTGTGTTTTTTTATTTTAAGTGTAAATCTTCTTGTTCCACACTGCAAAAAATGTAAATCTCAATAAGTCATTTTTTATTAAATTAAGGAGGTAAGTGAGACACTTTGCCAATGGAACAAGACAATTTACACTTAAAATAAGAAAAACACTATTGCATTGTCTTATTTCAAGTGTATAATATCTATTTATCCTTTTTTAAGAGTTAAAATACTCATTCTATTGGCAAATCATCTTATTTACCTACTCA